GGGGCTCAACCCCCCTTTTGGGGGGGTGGGTGTGGGAATAGTGGGGGGGGGGCGGGGGGGTGGGCGGGAGGAAGAGGGGGGGGGGGGGGGGGGGGGAGGGGGGGGGGGGAAGAAAAAAAAAAGGGGGGGGGGGGGGGGGGGGGGGGGGGGGGGGGACGAAGAGAGGGAGGAATGTTTTTATATTACGTAATCCAATCTAAGTGGCCATTTTTCTTGTATAAAACCCCAGTTGCCCTCAGTGAGACTGCTGCCCTCATCTGTCTAAAAGCACTGAGTGAGTCACGCTGCGGATCCACACACAAAGTCACAGTGAGTCAGCCCAGACCCGCCGTAGACGCTCACCTCCGTGATGAATAATGTAACAGGGCCGGCATATAAACTGCTCAAATGACATGTGAACTTAGCGGACCATGGGCATATGGACGATCCCGTTGGATGCACAAAAACAAGCAGCGGTGGACGTCCTGGTGGAGCCGATGGACAGCTGGACTGCACGCGGGTGAACAGGTGGCTTGTTCTTTGACACCTTGAGGTGCAGCCCACCTTCGTCTGAGGGCTGAATATCCAGCAGAGAGTTTCAAAGTGCAGCTGGATGGTCAAAAGTTCAAATTTGATCCCCGCTTAAAATAAAGTCTCCGACTTTGACCGCACCATCGTTGCTGTGGCGAAAGCTCTGAATCTGAATCCGCTCTAAATCTCCTGTTAGTTTCAGGAAGGCGAGATCAGGAAGTCCGTATGGTACGAGCAGAAGACACAGAAGGAACCAATTACGACTACTTGTGAGGAGTTTTCTACACTTACTTTGCGTGTGCTTTGAGAAACTGATTAAATTGGACACGGGGGAATTATAAACTGGGGGCTAATTGTGGGCTATCAGCAACTTGTCAGGCTCATTTTGAAGAGGATAGGTGCTAAGCCATAAGACCGAGGCCAAGCAAGAGGTCAAAAGCTGCTAGTACTTGTTTGCATGGCTGTTAGCGCCCAGGGGGAATCATTTTCTTCTTGCTGGCCCAATGCTATCCACGGTGGATAGAAATGTAAACTTAGCCTCAGCATTTTCTTTAGTAAGATAAAAAGTTTAGAACTCTACCCAGGCCATTTTAGTGCCGTAAACGTTCTCGAAATGTATATGATTTTGAGGGCCAGAAATAAGCTGAGAAAAGAGCGTTACTAAAAAGAACTCTAGAACTTACAACAAAATTGCTGGCTGATCTTAGCCCGAGCACCTCAAAAAGTCCCTCATAAACAAATTGAGCATTGTTTACAAAGTTCTTTTCTTACAAGCCAGTATGACCATTTAAATTCTAGAGCTCACAAAAAGCATGATCGTCAGACGCACGGTCATAAAATGATGCACGTGTTCAACTGATCATTCTACTTCAAACACAAACACCCTTTCCTGAGGCAGGTTGCATAGACTGTTCCTACTGTTTCGACTAAAGGGCAGACAGTTGATCCAGAGTCAACAGGAACAGGAAGACAAGCTGTGCAAGACTTACAAATATCAGGGGATACCTAATCGTGATTACCGTCATGAGTCAGATAATTACACAAATAACGCGAAAAGAAAAGATGGTCGGGAAAAAAGAAAAATACCAGAAAGAAAGCGATGTCCTGCGTCTGTTCCAGTTTGTTTTTACCTCATCCTGCCGTCATGTGCTGAGAGCGGCATGAGCTGGAGGCCAATGTAATGAGGTCTATGTGCGTAAGAAACAAAATCACAACAATCTCAGTGTCCTCTTAAATTTTCTTCAAAGGCATGACAAAGAACACACACACACACACAGACAAAAAGATCAAATGAATGAATAAATCTTAAACGAAACGCCAAACAAACTGAGACAAAGCCAACAGATGATGCACACTTAAACTTCCACGGCCAGTCACTCAGACTAAATCTTCTCAGCTAATAGGAATTCTTAAATGATTGACAACTGGCAGAACGGCATATAACTTTTAAGGTATTGGGGGTAATGATGTCTTGTCATAATATGTGTGAATAAATATGTCGACAGGGATCTGGTGGGCGAACCAGTTTTATTTTTGGCCGAGATCTCAATGTAGAAAACAGTTTCCTCCTACTGATTTGAAAATATCTGAAGAATACTAACGGGACTCATTAGCTGAAGGTGTTGCGTTGTAGTGTACCTAAGCCAGTGGTCATTTTGACACCCTAACCATGTAAAGGTAATCCAAATTGGATAATTAAAGAACAAAACATTGTGGGTTAGGGCGAGCTTTCGTGAATTGGACATAAAATCTTAATTGAATTAATTTTATTTAATTTTATTATGTTGAGACGGTTGTTTATCTCAGTGTTGTTTATCCCTGCGATGGACTGGCGACCTGTCCGGGGTGTACCCCGCCTCTCGCCCATTGTCAGCTGAGAAAGGGCTCCAATCCCGTTGGGAATAAGCGGCATAGAAAATAGACGGACAGATGCTTAGATGCTATTGTTGTGGTTTGGCACCTTGTAAATAGAATTGGATTTAACGGAATAGAAAAAAACTGTTTAGAGCTATATTAGCGTTTGCTGGGCATTAGCTAAAAGCATGAACTACTTTGATTACTGGTTAATACATTTTGGTGACCGGCTCTCTAAATTCCTTTTTCCATATTTCTAAAAACAAAAGTCATAGACTAGATGATAGGTCTCATGTTAAATGTTTGTCGGTCTATTTGTTACTCAAATATCAACTGAAAGATTTCTTTATAAATCTGCTGTCTGCTTCCATGTTCTTCCTCACAATTTAACTTTAACAAAAAGTTATCACATTAAGTGTGACACATATAATCCCATCGTCAGAATAGAACATGAAAACACAATAATGAGGCTGTGCTAATCATCAATAATCGGTATTATTGGCAGAAATAAAGGGGCCCCTAACTCAAATCTAGCTTAGGGTGCCGTTAATGGCTTTGGGCCTGCTCTTACATAGGGGGTTCATTCACTGACCTCTTGTCTGCTTTGATAAGGGAAACGTGAGAACACTATCGTGTCTATTAGTGTTGGGAAATGCGAACCCCTTGAAACGCATCTTCAAAGGAAACCAGTTCCCGCAGTGTGGGCGCTGCCAGCAAGTGGGAGCTGCCACCATCACCACGGAATCCTGGCCCGGTCCAGGACGCGTTGCCATGTCATTAAAAAAGCATCATCCACCTCCAATGGGCATCAACAGATCACCATGTTTTCCCCAAACTTTCTTCTCCCCCAAAAAAGGCAGCTGATAAATGCTGATATGACAGCCTAAAAACAAGCGGAGAATTCCTTTGCCCCCCAACCCCCCCATCACTACAATGACTTGGTAAAAAAGGCTGGCATGGAAACCTCTTTTTTTATTTTCCGGGTAATAACCGACTCACCAACATGGCCAGAGTCCAGCCAATGCGGGACAGATAGAAAGGAGTGGCCTGTGCTTCCGAGGAGGGAGGAGAGGGGAGGAGGAGAGGAGAGGAGAGACTCCGTGCTGTTTCTTTAAGCGCTGGAGAGCTCCATCAGAAAGGAGTCGAAGCCGGTGGGATCTTTGTGTGCGAGTGGTTTCGGTGGACCTGCTTTAACCCAGTGTCGCTCCAGTGGATGGGACCTGCCTCCACCCCCCCTGCCAACACGGGATGGTTATTTCAGCGCTCGACACGCATGGAGTTATAGAGTAAAAAAGAAAAAAGAAAAAGGCTCTTAAACCGTCCGATCATGAGGTGCCACTGGCTTGTTTGCGCCTCAAGTTTTATTCTGCTGCCGCTAACAGGTAGGAGAACACACTTTTGGGTTGTGTTTACACGGCATTGCGTTGCGAGCGCGCGCCGTTTCCTCGCGCGTCTTTACATCCGCTGAGCTCCCGCTTTGCGTAATTATAACAATTAAGATCAGGTGTGTTGGTCGTATTTCCACGCAGCCCGGCTTTTTTTTTAATCTCCTTTTTATAAGTCAGCATAAGATGCATTTCTACAACTCTTCGCGCACTTCAGCCTCATCATCGCATCCGACGTTTTTTATTGTTGTTATTTTGTGTGTGTGTGTGTGTGTGTCATTTATCTGAACGACAAACGGGAGGTGAGACGCAGCGTGCATCTGGGCGCTATTGTGTTCTGTCGGAGGGGACTTTACACGGGGAAACTAGTTCCTAACGGCGAGGTCCTGTTAACCCGTCAGGTCCCCTCAGGTCCCGTCATGGCCTCATTTGCATACCTGCGCTGTCGGTTTGTGGCGCGCGCGAGCCCCGGCCCCAGAGGCAACAGGTGCGTGCGCGCGAGGGTGAGCGTTGGAGTCCACGCGCACGCGCAGCCAAACACACGGGACTCCCTGTTTTTGTCTGTGCGCGCGCGCGTTTGGGGAAATGATTAAACATTTACTCCAACTGAAATGGAAGTAGTTTGGGTTTTACTAGAAAACATTAAGGAAGAAAGAAAGAAAGAAAGAAAGAAAGAAAGAAAGAAAGAAAGAAAGAAAGAAAATGCACTTTTTCTCATTTATTTTATTCTTTTTAAAAGCCTTTTTCTTAGAAAATACTGACTGAATTTGCAGAGGGCATGTATTGACCTTTACAGCGTTTGTTTTTGAGTGTGTAATTTTGAGTCACATAACAGCCCCGGGGTTTTTTTTTTTATTCCAAACCTTCTGCTTGTTTAGCAGCAGCTGCATATATTCCTCCCAACACGGGCTCGGAGACATGCGCCCACCGCCTGCACAACACTGGCGCTCTATTGATGTTTTGGAGAGGGAGCATCCAGATGCCTCTTGATCTCTGAGCTCTCGGAGAGCCCCGAGGCATAAATAGTCACATAGAAACGCTCCTCTTGAAATGCTGCTTATCATGTGGAAAATCTCGCTAGCTGGGGGGGTCAAACTGCAACTGACAACGTTGGTTATGTTTACTCATCTTTAGGGAATGGATTTAGGGACCTTAATGCATGATTACTCAGGGAGGACTGCTCATAATTATTGATTGTTCAATCGAGCCCTGGTGGTTAGCAAGGAGTCTGTCCTAAGGGGCTCTGGGCCAATGATAACATCCTATTTAACCACCACATTAGGTCCATGATTGTGCTTGGTTTTGCTCCATTAAAGAACAGACATGATTAATGAATAACATTTTGATATCTCTGAAAATTCCTACGTGCACTCTTGCAGGGCCAATCTCATTACATCACCTTTGACTTTGTTTTTCATCAATTTGACAGTTTACAATAGGGAGACCTTCCAATATAAAAGAGATGTCTATCAAGATATCAAGATCTGTGCTTTTTGACTTTAAGAAAGCTTTTTAAACGCGTCTGCCGTGCCATCCTCTCTGCCTTGTGTGTGTGTGTTTTTTTTAGTGTGGTGCGGCCCGATCATTTCCCCCAGCGGGCCTTATGTGGTGGTGCCCAAGAGGGGGAAGCTGGAGCTGCGTTGCCACGACAACAGCACGGCGTCTGGCGCCCCGTTCAAGTTGAGGTGGCAGAGGGAGAAGCCCCGGAGGCTGGAGGGGGAGGCGGAGGAGGGCGGGGTGGCCTCCGTCCGGCTGCCGGCCGCGCAGGTCTACCACATGGGCAGCTACACCTGCGTAAACAACAGCACGCAGGAGCACAGCTCCATCTACGTCTACGTGAAAGGTGGGTGTCGGCACAAGGGGGACGCTGCTCTTTCTGTTGCGATAGCATCCGCTGATCCAGATTCCCTCTGCGCGTTGTTATCCCGATTCCTTAGTTGGAAACCTGAGAATAAACCAGAGTAGATCAAGAATAAAAAATTGACATTTATTAGGTCACAGGCCAAGTGACTTTATAAAGTGTGAATAAGAACGTGTTATAAGTAACACGTGTGTCATGGGTATTTGTCTTCTGGGCTGGGCACACGCCTCAAAAGGACTGGACTCTACAGAGTTCTTATTGGCCAGTTAGTTACTAACCCTAACCCTGACATGAACCGGCCAGGTCCTAATTAATGCAGTTAATCTTGGAATGTGGTAACAAAGTTTGTGTGTGTGGTTGACTTAATGACATGTGTCTAAAGCAACAGAGAGAAAAATAAAGGAAAAGAGAATCTGTGGTTACAGCCAGAGAATTGAACACAAAAGTATAGTCCAATAAGACAATCAGTCATTTACATATGTGATAGCATACAATGCTGAAGTGAGTAATTATAGCCAAATTCTAACAGCGTGGTGGCTTCAGACCCACAGAACGCCTTCCAGCGCACCATGGTGAATGTCATCCTGGTGCGAGCCGGCCAGAACTGCAACATCCCGTGCCTGGTGACCACTCCCGAGGTCACCGGCCTGGCCTTGGAGACCTGCGACGGGCAGCCTCTGCCCCCCGGCATGAGCTACCGCAGCGACCTGCAGCGAGGCGTCATCATCAGCGACGCCCGGAAGGACTACGAGGGCTGCTACCTGTGCGCCGGGCAGCTCGGCGGTTCGAGAGTGACCTCGAGCAAGTACACCGTGGACGTCCGACTCGGTGAGCGGGACACACGACAGCTGAAAAGAGCTGCGGGTGCGGGTCACATCTGCAGGAGGGGGTCACATACCGGGGTCCCAGGTCATGTGACACGGCTTCTTGAAAACTGCCTCATGGGTGTTAATGACGCAAACAATAGGTTGACAGAAAAGAGGTAATCTTTTTAAAAAAAATACAAAATAAATAAGGCAAAAAAACTGGTAGATTTACAGTTCTTTTCTCATTTTCAGCATTAAAACATGCCTTCCAACAAGCCAAAGCAAGCATTTGCCTTACTAATGGAATATGATCAGATCACTTTGACTATTGCAAGCAGTCCTGTTTGTGCCTCCATTACTTCTATAAATAGATATCTGTAAAAGACGAAGACCGATCGCGCTTTAAGAAGCTTCTAATTCACATGCAGGTGAATAGTCTCTGTGCTTTTATCTAAAGTAGGTAAGGCATATAGGTTCAAATTAAGTCTTGTAGCGTTACAGTCTAAATTAGACATCCATTTTTTATTATTATTAATGTTTTTGTTATTTATGGACTCTCCTCCGAGCCAATTCTAAGTGCTATTGATAAAGTGGTAGGGTACTGTGTGGAAATGTCAGAACTGCATCACTGAATAAAATCTCCAAATGATTCATTGATTACATAGTTTTTATATTTAACGAGCCGGAATAATGAGCAGACCATCAACGTCAGCACCATCGACCCATTTAGCCTCAAAATGAAGCATGCAGTAGCTGTGTAGCCTTGTCTTCATGGGAATACCCTTAACCCTAATAATCCCCCACCCGACGTCCAACTCATCAACAAATGACCCTATACCTCTCCGTCTCCGCCGTGTAATGGCCTCTTCAATATGTGGGGGGATTTTGGCAGCGCGTTTGCACCAGAACGCAGTTATTAGGAACGAGCGTTTACATTTGGATACCAAGGGTTAGGGCTGATATAAAAACTGAGCTCGATATGCTTTCTGTTGCTTTTATTATGATAAGAAATATGGTATTTACTTCAGCTTAGTGGTTAGCTTCTTGGCTCCAAGCTCTCAAGTTTCAGGCTTGTTTACCTTAAGCAAACCGACTTTCCCCTCAGCTTATAAGCTTACGAGAGCTCAACTGACCAAACAACACTTAGATCTTCTCGATCCAGCTTGTGTTTTTTTTCTTTTTTAGATGATTTTTAACAACACGGTCACCTCTGTTAGGCTCCCACCACAAAGCATGAATTGGGAGGAAGTTCTTCCCTCCATCACCCATAAACAAGCATGTTAGGTTAATTGGTGTCTGTGTGGATCTTCTCCAGAAATTCTACATGGAAAATGCTGGCTGTGTGACCTTGTCGTTCTGAGTATGCCTATAATTAATGAGTTGTGTTGCTCAGATGTCCTTTAAAGTAAAAAAGAAAACATTTACTTTAATTAGACTGGCGCTTTCGACTGATGTCAGAGCAGGGCGGCGTCGCAGGAAGAGTCGAAAAGAGGACGAACGGGAGGGGAAGCGGCGGGGTTACGGCGGTGTCCTTTTGATTGATTGGGGAAAGGGAGAGCAGACGCGTCGGAGGGAGGATCCGGGAGACCCTTATCCACCACGGAATGACTATGCAACGGAGTGTGAAGACAGTGTTTGTGTTGAGCGGAATTACCGCAGAACAAACTCGGCTGGTGAAATGACCTCTGCAGGCATTGGATGCTCGAAGTGGATCGAGCCATTTATGAGCATCTGCACACGCACAATTGAGCTTTTGTGCACTGTCATGTGAATAAAAGCCGCTGGTCGTACACCCTCGAGGGTCAATATGGGGGTAAAAAAAGAAACTTGTAGACACACGCATAGATCTATGTTTTAGTTTATGTTGTTTTTTTTGTGGGGGGGTGGGGGTGGTGGAAATGACACAAGTCAAACATGGTAGTTTTGTTGACTTTACTAGATATACAAGTATGATCGTGTTGATTTTGTGCCTTTTAATCCAGTGCCAGAGCTGCGCCCAGAGATCACCCTGTCCCACAAAGACACTGTCATCCTAAAGAGAGGCGAGCAGTTTGAGCTAACATGCACCTCCACCAATGTCAACCCGGACTTCAGTCTTAAGTGGGACTACCCGTCAGCGGCGGTGAGAGTAATGTTGGGAATTTATTTGCAGTTCTCAAAGCGGGGATGATTGATTGCCTCAATGTCAAACTCTCTACTCCGCCTCATGGTAATATATAGATTTTAACTGTTGCCAATTGTACCGTGGCATGGAAATTGTATTTGAGAATTCAAAAAAATACTTTGTAGAACATTAAAAACGTAGCACTTTATGTAATGAACACAGAGATAGTCTTAGTAGTTTCTAATGGCTCACCAGCAGTGGGCATTTTTTTTACACTCTGCTGGAAATGCCTCTCATTTAGGATTTGTAGCGTTCGGGGTGGTTACCACGTTTGAGGAAATGATTCAGCTTTTAGTACAGCATTCAGTTACACACATAAACTTTGGTCTGCAGGAAGCTGACTTTCATCTAAAATCCAAATAGTGATGTGTCTCTTTGGGATTTTTTTTTATAGAGGTTTAGACGTCTGTGTTTGCACTTCTGAACATATCAGCCATAAGAGAGAATTGCATTTAGTTCCTCTAATTCAATCATTTTGTTGTTTTTACCCACTCAAAGCCTCATTCCACTGATATGCTGCATTCATTTTCAATTGGGCAGACAGAGCTTCTGATGTCAAATTAGAAAAACAATCTAAGGCAGAGTTCCTGTTGGTGAACTAAGCTGAGAGTTTCCCTCAGAAGGCAGCATTCCCAGGAAACAAAGGCCTTTTTGTTTATCTTGATCTGAATGTAAACAGTGATGGCATTTTGAGTTACTAATTCCTGCTTTTGAGGTACACCACACATACTAGTGATATCAGAACAGGAGGAGAGGAACATCAAAGTTCTTAAGATCCTTCCATTCATAGAAATAAACCATACGTTTCTGACATTGTGTACGTTGAAACTTAGTTGGATATGTTAAACATGATGCTGTACCTGTGGATGTTGAGTGTGTTCTGTTGATGCTTTGCAGCATCTTAAGGAATTCCAGACCTCCCACATCCTGTCTGGTTCCCATGGTTATCAACGTTCCACCTCACTGTCTATCACAGCCGTCAGCCAATCAGACTCGGGCACTTTCAGCTGCCACGCCCGCAACGAAAGAGGCAACAGCTACGCGGCGCTAAAACTGGATGTACGAGGTACGTTTTGAAGCGGCTTTGTGTTTTTATATGTGCGCATGCTTGGGAACCTCTTACTGTTTTTTTTTGTTTTTCTTTTTTTAACGGAAAACCCCACTAAAGCTAACTGGTACAAACCTGTTTAAAACAAACAAAGCAGATTTAGTTTTTTTTTTGTACGAGTGCTGTCACACACTTAGATTTGCAGACCATGCAAATTTCCACTAAGCCAAGAAACCATTCACACTCATTTAAAGTATCTAATTTAAAGCAAACACAAAGTTTTTTTTCCCACCTGTAACAATCTAACTTATCTATGTTTTCAGATCAAGGGTTTATAACCATGTTAGGAGACCCCGGTCCCGTCCAGGCAGACGTCAAAGAAGGGGAGAGCCTGAGCCTGAGGGTAGAATTCGATGCCCATCCAACACCGCTCTCCCTGACCTGGTCTTACAACGAAAAACGTCTTCTCAACACCACAGAGCATGTTATCACCGTCCACCGCCGTAAATACAGGTACTCTGGCCTCACGGCGCACCAGTGTTGCCGTCGGTGACACATTTTTTTAAAAACGTATTGGTATTTTTTCATCAGGTACATCAGTGAGCTGAGGCTAGTGAGGGTCCTCGGCTCAGAGGGGGGGATCTATAAATTCTCTGCCAGCCATGAAGATGCAGCTGTTGATAATTTGTTTCACGTCTATGTCAACAGTAAGAAAACAAACATTTCTTATAACACAACACATGGTTACAACACACTTAACTTAATTTCTTCACGCTCGTATGTGAAAGTAACCCTTGAGAATGTAAGAACAGCCTCTTCGTTTGGTTTTAGCAGCTGGACATAATGTAAAGTGGTTTGTACTATTTTTTTAAATCTGACATGACTAAACAAGGCGAGTCATCAGTCACAAGACAGCCATCATCTTATTGGATCTAGGGCATGTTTTGTTTTTTTTCCAATAGGAAGGTGGTATTAGAGCATATCAGAGAACACTGAAATATCTCAGAAATGCTTCAATCAAATTTGCAATATCTGTTGTGGCTCAAACATTATGAACACAGATAGTTCCAAATGGACTGGGAATGTTGCCCGCAAAGTTTAAACTTCCCCAGTTTGAACTGATATTGCCAATCTGATTGTGGCAGGTGGCAGTCATTGTCCGACACAATTCTGGTCTTCTCTGAAATGCTACATGACTAATATTAGGAGAAAAAAAAACCTTGCCTTGCATCTCATATAGTGGCTTTCAAGAAGGCACCCCTGTTGTGGACATATTCTAAAAGATAGGTCCCCTCTTCTGTTACTTGATTGGAAATTTTAGCCATTTTGTTTCTAAACTAAAACAGTATCCTGTAACTTTTGACTCCCCTCTATGTCCAAATAGCCACCAGCATTGATAATTAAGAGTTTGATGTGTATCTATAATGTTGTGTTTAATGTTTGGTTAGTTTATTGAAAAGCATTTCCATCATTGTTTTGTGTTTTTCTTTCTTTTCTTTGTCACTTTCAGGCAAGCCAGTCATCATTGCTCAGGAGGGGCCGATTGATGGTCAGGTGCGGTGCATTGCAGCGGGTTTTCCCGTCCCCAAAATCAGCTGGTTCTTCTGTGAGCTCCCCCATACGAGGTATGCCAAGAAAATATATACGACACTGCCACCATTTTCGTTATGATTGACAGAATAATGGGACAAAAATAATACAGCAGAAGTCTTGGCACCCCACTTTTCCAGCTTGTTGTATCAAACTTGGCTTGTGAGTTTATTGAGACAAGGGGATGAAAACGAAAGCTCATTAAACGTGTTATGTCCCCCAGCCTCTGAAAGCAACATTATTTTTATACAGTTGGCCAGAACACTTGCACACACACATGTTTCTGAGAATCAATGTTTTTGACAGTGTTGGCTGATTAGCATGGAAAGGCTGTTATTAGTTCAAGATTTCACTCAGTATGTTCTCAGGTTCTGGATAAATTCTGTTAAATTCTATTTTTTCTAGAATGACAGATTATGTTTAATTTAAATAAATAATACGTTAACTATAGTCTGGTATTTTTCTATGAAGAGGAAAAGAGTCTAATTTTTTTTCAATTTGTCATCTGTATTTAAATACTGAATCTTGCTATCAGATCAGATATTGTTAACAAATAAGGTAAATCGGGCATCTTAGCCCATTGTACTGTCACTAGTAGCACCAGGATCGGTCTACAAGGCTCAGACTTCTTTATAATAGGTGATGTCATAGGCTCTAACCAATCACGGATGACTCAGAGATGGTCAAACTGTCTCTGTGGTTGGGGTCATGTGTCATATTTTTATTGTGCTGAGGTTTTTGAAAGCCCATCTCTCATTGGCTAAACTTAAACATCCATTTAACTTTTTAACTTAGCATTTTTTGGATTCTTTTTATTCATTAAGATTAAAAACTGAGCAGTGACTATAAATGAACTTGGCCAGCCAAGTAAAATGTCAGATTTAGCGTCCAAAGGGGCTAAAAAAAGCATTGAATCCATCAAAATCACAGTACAAGCCAAAGAAAATGAAGAACAACTTTGGATTTTAAAAGCTGTAGATGTTTAAAAAAATCACAGATTTGGCGCTGCTTTAGATATTGTTTAAGATGAGCCTTAAACATACATTAAGATGGAAACTTCTTCAAAGAATAAGATAAGTTGTTCCAATATTGGCAGCCTTTCACTCACAGCAGTGTCCGAATTTAGTGTGACAGTGAGGTCCCCTCATGTTGGATCCGTTTTTCCTCTTTTTCCGTTTCTTAAAAACTTAACACTTAAAGGAAAGGGTACGAGTCCATTCAGGATTAGGTCAATAAAACAGGAATATTCAACATAAACTCGAAAAATGGTGTCTAATTTCTTTTCAGTGATGAAATTAAAATGGCTTTTGATAACCCTCTTTGACAGCAATTCTATTGTTTTGAGATTTGATGTCTTTGTGAGACACAAATCGGTGACGCAGTAATTGATATGAGAAATATTAACCAAAGCAGCTTCAACTGTTTATGTTTTTCAAGCTGTACAGGTGAAATGAAACACTTTTGGAAACTACTTTTTTAACACAACTCTCATAAGATCTGACATTGCAACTTGGCCCCGTAATAACAAGTTTGTCCTCCAAATAGCCCTCCATAACGCACTCGGTTTAAACTTTCCTAGCATTTCACAGAAAGAGCAGAGAAGAGTCCTTTAAAGGGATGTGCAACTCTGACCTCTCGACAGGTGCTCACAGCTGCCCAATGCCACCCAGTGGGACGCCCCGGAGGTGGCCATGCTGACCGAGTCAGCCTACGGTCGGAGTGAGGTGGAGAGCAGGCTGAACGTCAGCAAAGAGCATGCTCAGTACCACACTCTGGAGTGTGTGGCCTCCACGGAGAGTCAGGAGGCCTACACGCTGTTCTCCATCAGTGGTATGACACACGCTCACGCGCATCCACAGTGACTTTAGTCCTGGTCACAGACAGAGCAGGGGGGCCCAGGGATTTCTCCCTGAGGCACGGCTAGACAAAGACACTGCGCGAACTGCCTAAACACAAACAGAGACACGCAAACCCATCGACCCCGTGTGCGTGGAGGCCAGGTGTGTGGTCACTGGCTACAGATTGAATGAGATTAGTGTATGCTGACTGTGCAGGCTGGGATTATGTGGCGTAGACACACTAATCCTTATGACACAAACAAACACCACTGGTGCAGCTGTCCGTCGTAACAGTGGAGGAAGAGGATGCGCATGTACGTGTGTGTGTGTACGTGTGTGTGTGTGTGTGTTTCTGCATGTATGGGAGTGGGGGGCTTGTTTTGATATAATAATAGGATAAGAAACATATCCCGCTAGAGTCTGAAAGCTTTGGGAATGAAAGAAAAATGCTGAACTCCTCGAGTTTTGAAAGCTTTTGGTGTGTCAACAATTGGATTTAGGGTTAGAGATAGAGTAATGCATTCCGTCTGCGGGTAGGGAACTCACAGATCCAGCATGTTTGTGTAACTTGCCAGTAAAAGCTGCCAGTAAAACTGCTTCTACTCTGAACGCGCTCCGCGAGGATTTCTGATGGCGTCGGATGTTTGTTTGTTCCCAGAGCGCATCGTCCCCCATAAACTCTTTACTCCTCTTCTCACTGGCATGGTGGCGACTGGCATCCTTCTAAGCCTCATTCTTGTGGTGCTACTCTATAAGTACATGCAGGTAAGAAAAGAAAGAAGTGTAGCTGCCATATTACTCATGTTACTTTTGCGAGTGTAATTTGAGGAATGGGCTCATAAATCTGTCTTCGGTGGCTATCAATCCAATCTCAACTCACAAATCAGTTTATGGACATCGATGTTCAATGTTGAGCAGCACTGATATGCAGTTTGCATTGGAGGAAAAGGAAATGGGCTCAGCAGCTTCTTGCAAAAGGCCAATTCTCATTTACTAATACGGCTTGCCCCCACGTCGCGTGGTGCACGTTAAACTTAAAAACATCATTTTTTATGCACTTGATCACGACATTCTTCAAAGAGTAAAAGCATGTCCTTTCAATCAGCATGAATGTGTCCTAATGAATATGAACCGAGTCAATCAACCATTCACACATACGTGCTAGAGTTACAGGATTCTTGACACTTCGATCACGCCTCAAGCCATTAATTCGCCCCCTGCGAACGGGCTGCTTTTATTGCACTCAGATGAGTCAGACTCCTTGAGTGCCAACATTCGCATGGCATCCTGAAGGCAAAGTCTAGACACAATATGTCAAATAAAGTACATTGAGCCATCCAAACGTGAATAAAGGGGCAAAGACGGAGGGGCGGAGATGTGAGCTGTATCTGTGCAATCGCAATGTGAGCCTCTCAGGTTTCTCTTATAAGGTCTCTCTACAAACATCAACAGAAACCAAAGTTCCAAATCCAGTGGAAGGTCATTGAGAGCATCCATGGAAACAACTACATATACATAGATCCTCTCCAGCTGCCCTACGACGTCAAATGGGAGTTTCCCCGCCAGAAGCTTCGCTTTGGTAAGACGGCATCCGTGGGATGTTGGTGGAAGCTTCGCGTCTGGTTGTTTAGGGGAACTGCTAAGGGGTTTCCTGTGCTTCCAGGTAAAACCCTGGGCTCGGGCGCGTTCGGAAAGGTGGTGAGAGCCACGGCGTACGGGCTGTGCTCGGTAGACACCGTCACCACCGTCGCAGTGAAGATGCTAAAACGTGAGTCGCCCCCTCCCCGAATGCCGTCGCAGCATGTTTTAGCGCCATGCAAGGCGGTGGAGAGTCACTCGGAAAACTTGTGACGGTTATCATCCTAGCCAATCCCCATTCCACCGAGAAGGAGGCACTGATGTCAGAGCTGAAGGTTCTCAGTTACCTCGGAAATCATGTGAACATAGTCAACCTGCTGGGAGCCTGCACTGTCGGAGGTGAGAGGAGATTCTACGAACATGCTTTTGTTCAGTCTGTAAGATGCCGTATTTCTGGTTAAACATTCACCAGGTGTGGAATTTCAACCTCTTTCACCTGCTTTATTGTTATTCTTATTAACATTACTTATTCATTCACTCTTTTAATGTGTTTTTGGACGACTGCCGTAAAAGCTATTACTCCTGCTTTATGCTCATATGCTGACTCACTAATTAAAAATTCTATACCATCCTTCTCCAATATGAGTACGTGATGCAGTTTGAATAGTCACAAATTTTTTCCCGATCAATATGATTTACCTTCCCAGCCAGACCTCAGTATTGATTCCAATGCAGCATTTTCATTGGATTCCATTCAAGTGTGCAGAAGTATGTTGTTGTGATGAGCAGACTGAACACTTGACTGATCTGCCAGACAGCAAAAAGTCCCAACACTCCCAAGTTATCCGATACCAACACAAATTTGTCCAGTTTAATCTTTCAAACACACTTCATGGTAACGCTCATCGCGCCTGAAACAGGTTTTTCCTAATTTCTGGCGCATTTGTTATTATTATTGTTATTAGCTACTGTCACACAACCATCATCTTTTGTCTAAGTGCTGTCATGATTTTAAGAGCGGTGATTGTTCATTTCTTCTTTTTTTAAAAATCTCTACATGTTGCCAGGCCCAATTTTAGTGATCACCGAGTACTGTTGCTATGGCGACCTCCTCAACTTCCTGCGGAGAAAAAGACAGTCCTTCCTAAATTCCCAGGTCGGGGATGGTTACTATCGCAACGTGTCAAACCAGACGGAGCCAGCAAGGTGTTTAATGCGTTCGAATTCTTTATCTTGATTACAATAGAGAGAAGAGTTGTTTTTAGTGCTTAAATGTTTGCGCGTGTGTACAGCAGAGATGCGACTGGTGCAGGATACATGACCATGCGCCCCTCTGAGAAAGAAAGGCCCTCCCAGTCAGGTAAGTCTCTTGTCTTTGTTTCCAGTCACAACAAAGTTCATAAAGCACAAATCTATGTCTATTTAAACCTTTGTCTGGTGGACTGAGAGGCTGATGGGGACATCTCTGTGTCTAGATGAAATAGATGAGCTGTCCCTGGACGCTGAAGATCTCCTCAGCTTTTCCTACCAAGTTGCCAAAGGAATGGAGTACATTACTTCTAAGAATGTAAGGCGCTTGCATGCTGTTCCCATATTTATTGAGTAGTTATGGAGGAGATTTAAAAGAGCTGCCACTAGTTAATAAATCATGTTATGGATTGGGGCCAGCATTCCTACAGAAAAAGCTTGAAGTCAGCTGCTGTTGCATTTACAATGAGAAAAACAAAAGTACTCTCTCTCTCTAGCTGCTGAGTTGCACATTAATTAAGTCAACTGCCTCATGAATGTATGCTGCATTTGATTTGATTTGATTTTTTTCCGTTTCATCATTTGCATATCAAGCTGGATTCTAGATCGGATAGAAACACAAAGTAATGGATAGTGATGGCACATTAATCTGAGTTCTAAATTCAAAAGAAAAAAGATACATACAAAGGTTCATACATGTCTTTTCAATGTTATTAATGAATTAATAATATTATATTTTCTATCTTTTTTAACCTCAAGACAGTATTCTCAATTATCTCTAGGAAATCACTCACAGATATATATATATTTTTAAAGATAGCCATTTAGCATGCTAAGCTTATAGGGCTGTTGTTATATTGGTTAGCTTTATGTGCTGAAAGGGTTAGTAGAAGTTCTCCAACCTGCCACAGAGCAGGGGTTATGTATCCTGTTCAAGTTCACTGTGGCAGGAAATACTGTCCTTTATTTAAACATTTAGTTTCCTTAACTTTTAATGGAAAACTATTTACACTCCATTGACACCAAGCTGTCATTGCAGTAAATGGAGGAAACGCCATCATCGGTTTCTGTTATCTGGGGCTATACCTTATACTATACTATTTTTGTGATAGGTATTAAACTATTGATAATTGTGTTTCTTCTCATTCATTAATAGTCATATCAAAGGGGACTTTGACTTATTTAATTAAAATTCAGACCAAATAGGAAAAGTAATCATGTAAACAACAATATCCCTAATTTATTGTGAGTAGATTAATGTAATTCTGTTAGATTTAAAAAAAACTTTTTGTCCCCAGGATGCAATTTAAGGCACAGAGAGCAGTAGTACAAACAGGCTAAAGATTAAAGTTTAAAAACATTTTTTTAATGTTACAAATAGTGTAGTTCAGCACAGCAAATCCCTGAATTGTTAGCCATAAAAGCAACGTGAAGGAAAGCCACCAAATCAGCATCGAACCTTCAGAATGAATCAAACATGCCGGTGCAATGGTAAGCTTTTTGTGCACAGTTCTGCAGTTCCTTTTCCGAAAGCAAAGTGGTATTTATTGCGCGAGGCGCTGGGATGACAGCCCATTTACTATCCAAACGTATCAGTTCATCAGTGTTTGTGTGATTTGTGCCGGCTGTGTGCCGAATTACAGTGTCAGCACTCATTTCCGTGTTTGTTTGTGTGCGCAGTGTATCCACAGGGATCTTGCAGCCAGAAACGTTCTGCTGACTCATGGCAGGGTGGCGAAGATATGCGACTTCGGCTTGGCCCGAGACATCACCACTGACGCTAGTTATGTGCTCCGGGGGAACGTGAGTTTGCCTTCCTGTTGTTTTCGCCCCTTCCCATTCACCCATCGGCGTTCCCTCCTCGCTCCTCTGTCTCTTTGTTCCCTCTCTGCTAAAGAAAAAAAAGAAATAAAAACCCACGCAGGGTTCTTTTCACTCGCTGAAACAATGCGCGCACTGTTTGGATGCGACCAAATGATTATTTATTTAGTGGTGGTTCAAATCAGTCAGTCATTGTTGGCTTTTTACCATCGCAAAAACATACGATGGTTATTTTGACTCCTGAGAATCTGCTCGTCAAAACACTGCATGAAAAGATTGCGTCCTAAGCCAGGAGATAATGTATCTTTTTATGATTGGAAAAAATATATACATGTATGGCTCTTTCCATCCTACAGGCACGTTTGCCCGTCAAGTGGATGTCTCCTGAGAGTATTTTTGACTGTGTCTACACCTTTGAGAGCGATGTTTGGTCCTATGGCATCCTGCTCTGGGAAATCTTCTCTCTGGGTAACATTTCCAGACAAAACTCCGCCATTGCATTTGTTATGATGATGCTCGGGCGATCGAGATCATCAATTTGGGCCTCATTAGAGGCTGTTGTGATGCTTCCTAAGAAGCAACATCACTTAGAGGAGTCAGTAATGTAATCAAATCATAAAGACTGGGAAGCCATCAGCAATGTACGAATCCCTGATTTTATTTGTGTGTGTTTTCTGTTGGCATTGCAGGAAATAGCCCGTACCCCGGGATGCAGGTGGGCTCCGCCTTTTACAGGATGATTCAAGAAGGCCACAGGATGAACAGGCCTGAGTTTGCTCCCACTGAGATGTAAGCGATTATCAAAAGTTCGAACTAAAGCTACAGATAGGAAATACAACTGGTAACCGGTGTACCAATATTGCTTTATCGGCTTTTATAAGTTTAGAAAAAATGATAAATTCTGCCACAACAATCGAAAGAGAAAAAGTATGTTTCACATTTTGAGGATTCAAACTTTAAATAGGCGCAAAAATACAAACAGACGTACGGATGAGGGGCTTACCTCAGCCTGCCTGATCCAGTGAGAGACACAATAAGCTCTCAGCAACATTTTCTGTTTGATTTCATTTGCATCAAATTTCCCTAATGCCTGAGGTGGTGCGGGGTCAACACCCAGCTAGCTAAACTCACTTGTATGGGCTTCTGCATATTTTCTACTACTAGAGAAATGGTTCAAAACTGAAAAATATTGGGAAGTATATATATTGTAGTTTAATCCTCATAAATTCTAACGTACTTAATTCATTGAGCCCACAGAACAGACTATAAAAGCCGTGAGCCTTAGAGTTACAAAAAATCCATTAAGTTCAGATGATGGTATGTTGTAGATATATTTTATCGATGATGTTGAGTTTAACAAGCAGTTATTAAATCAAAATGTCTCCTTACAGTAGCTAGCTAACACTAAATGCCATCTTGTCTTGGCAGCAGCTACCTCAGATATAACTTCCATCCTGCTAGACGGTTTTCTGCTCAGCGACCACTTGAAATTCTATTTAGTTTTGTAATAGCTCGCCAAAAAGGAAAAATGGAACGTATGACATCCAATGTAAAGACATTTAATGTCAGCTAATGGTGATGGAAATGCGTTGTTTCATAAATTGATAAAATAAGTTCCAATGAGAACTTTGGGGGCAATTTCTGTGACCAATCAAGCCCTAAAGCCAAAGCACAAGTCAGTTACAGTCCAGCCACCTCCAACACCCTAAATCCCCCGCCTGCTCTAATTTTCCTCCCATCGTTTAGAAACATTTCTATCGATTTTCCTGCTTAATAGCCCAGTCTGCTTAAAAGCAGTCTCTTACTGCTTTGAAGCTTTATGCTGGTCTCCTCGCTTCTAAGTCACTTTGTGTGAAAGTGCCGCTAAATGCCTAAAAGTAAATGTGTGTATGCGAGTAATGTGTGTTTTTGTTTTGATAAAATATCACATAAACCAAGGAAGCGGCTAAATCTATTATTATTTACTTAAATATCTGCTAAAGATTCTTTTCTATATTTTTATACGATCATATTTTGGACATTTCAGAGAAATTGGAGGATTGCAACCTCTGAAAAAGAGATAAAAAAAATGGAAAAACAACACATTAACAAATTAAATTAGTAGCTTGATTATTTATTATATTTGTCTCTGGCTGAATTCTTCACCCATTTGTTAGGAGTGTTGGTTGGTTGTGTCTGTGCGTGCGCGTTACACCTGTCATCCTCATTCGGAGACTGACCAACTCGCATCTCCAGGTATGACATGATGCTGTCCTGCTGGAACCACGACCCTTTGAAAAGGCCCTCCTTC